AAAGCCAAAGATGAGGAAATTGAAGATTTTTATCAACTTCTGCAGTCTGAAATTGACCAAACATGCAATCAGGATGTGTTAATTATCACTGGTGACTGGAGGAGAAGAATAGAAAAACAAAAACGAACACCTATCCTTTATGATCTCATTCTTAATTATTGCCTCAGTCTTTTGATGGCAGGTACCTGAGTTGGGAACATAAATATTGCAGGTGGCTGTTTAAAGGAAATCCACAGGATTCCTTATGGTATCCAGAAATATCATATACATAGGTAGCAAACTGGTATTGCCTTATAAATATTAAAAACATGGCCAATGATCTGCACATTGAACCAATGGGCAGCAGGTTATAAGTGACAGGGGCAGAGTTTCGTATAGCTATAAAGAAAGGTGTTGGGAACAGCAATGGAGGGTTTAGGTAAAGGACTCCACCTTGTGAGACTTGGCTGCGCAAACAAAGAGAAAAGTAAGATGGTCACCAAAGCAGCAGCAATCTCGAACAAACGTTTTTCAAGATATTTTAACACAAATATATCTCAGTTTTAATGCTACTGATTTTAATTAAATGGTTTTTAGATTCTAAAATAAATATATACATACTTCAAAGAACAGAGAACCAGTGAATTAGAAGTCATGGCTTTGGCTGAGGCTCCCCCTCAGTGTTCACTCTCTGAAGGTCACAAGCCTCCCTGAACCTGACACTATGAAGAGATTTACTTCTAATTGAAAGGAAACACTAATAAGAAATAAAACAGCATTAGCTTCATATTCTGTACAAATAGAGCAGCAAAAGATGTATATATTAAAATAGAAGCTATTAAAATGAGTCTTGTATATTTAGTGCAAGACCAAGCAATGTTCTGTTATTATACATAAGGTCACCATGAGTGGGAGCTGACTCAAAGGCAACTAAAAACGCCAACAGGATAATATTAATCAATTACAGAAATTAAATTAATATACACGGGAGGAAAATCAGACCCTTTGCAATTTATTTCTTTTAATTTGCAAACCTATACTATGAATTCTGGCTGAAATGTTCATTGTCTTTCTAAATCATTCAACTTAATTTCCACTTTAAAAAAAAAATCAGCTTCCTTTTTAATGTTAAATTTCAATTTTTATAAAAGATTTCCAAATATCTATTAAAAATGCAGTCACAACATAGTAAGATTTGACTTCATGTTTCTTAGACTATCACTAATTTCTTTACACTGATCACATTATGCAAACTTGAATTATGTTTTTACCAAGGTTACTACTTTTAGGCAATAAAAGTTAACATCTGCCTGCTTTTTTCCTCTGAAAGTATTGATCTAACTTAGGATGAATAGAAAAGCAATGAAACATCAAAAACTACTACCTTGGAGCTGCTTTTCTTCTGTTCTTCTTTTTTATCCACACTACTTCGGTGCCTCTCTTCATCAAAATGTACACCTTCTTTATGTCGTTTCTCTTTATGTCTTTCTTCCCCTTCTTTGTCAGACAACAAATTATTTTTTTCTTTTCGATTTTTTTCTCTTTTTTCCCTTGTACTGCTTTTCTCTCGATGTTTCTTCTCTCGATCTTGTTCTTTTTGTTTCCTATGTCGTCTTTCACCATCTTCTTTATAAAGCCAGTACTTAAGAGGATTGTCTTTACTGTCACCATACTGCAACTTTGAAACATGACATATTGAAAATGCATGAGCTGAATATTAGAGAGTACACAGGAGGCAATATTATAAAAAACTTCTTAGCCACAATCAAACACTTTGAAGCAAAGAGTCCCTGGGTTTAGGAACTCAGGACCACAGTCTCAGGGGAAATTAAGGTCAACTTCATGGCACGGTCCACAAAAACAATGTTGTACATTACACTTCGTTGAGAAATGACTGGGGTCTCAAAAGTTTGTTAATAGCCAAGGCACAACTATTGGTGTCTCCCTATTCAGAGCAAAGGGAAGTAAAGAACAGCAAAGACACTTGGAAACAATTAGTCTAAAGGACTAATGGACCATGCGAACTTCAGCACCCATGATCCTGAGACCAGACAAACTAGATGGTGCCCAGCCACCACTGCTGATTACTCTGAAAGGGATCAAAATAGGAGGTCCTAGATAAAGTAGGAAAAAAATGTGTAGCAGAACTCAAAACCACTAAAAAAAAAAAAAGAAATCTTTACTGGTTCGTATAGAGACTTGTGGCACTCTCAAGACTATGGCCCTTAGCCTGAAAACTGGAACTAAACTAACCCCCATGGCTATATTTTCAGCCAAACAATAGATAGGCCTATAAGCTGAACAACACCAGGGAAGTATGCACCCCTTAAAACAATAAAGAACAAATTACAATCTGAATCAAATTAGCAAAGATTAAAACTAAGGATAATGCCCAGCTGCTTCTTAGTACATGAGGAATTATACTCTGATCATGTGAATAATTACAGCTTTTATGTAAATCAAAAGGAACAAAGTTTACAACTACTTTGATCCAGTAAATTCATTTCTAGAAATTAATCATAAGGTAATAAATACAAATAAATGCAAAAATTTTACCCAATGACTATCTTTATACTAAAAAAGCTTTAGAAGTAATGTAAATGTTCAACAATGGCAGACTTCTCAAGAAAAGTATGATACATCTATACAATTGAATATTATATTATGCAGCCACTAAAATGATATTATAGAGAAATACAGCTTAGAAAATGCTCACAACATACCAAATTTAAGCAATTTATAAAACAGAAAACATACAATTTAAATACATATGTATTTACTTTTGTGTGTCATCTTGACTAGGCTATACAGTACCTAGTTGTATGGTTAAACACCAGACGTTTACCATTTGCCCAGGGATACAGTGTAGTGCCTAAGGCATGTGACTGCTAACCAGAAGGTTGGTGGTTTAAACTTACTAGCCACTCGTCAGAAGGAAGGTTGGGCAACCTACCTCCATAGTGGTATCACCTTGGAAGCCCCAGGAGGGGTCTCTATGAGTTGGACCCAACTCACCGGCAGTGAGTTTGAGTGAGAAACATCAGAAGGCAGGAAGGCATAGAAAGGAAGGACAAATGGAAATGGTACACACAGGGAGGAAGTGGGAAGAGTACTGTTACATTGTGGGGATTGCAACCAGCATCACAAAACAAAATGTGTCTTAATTGCTGGATGGAAAACCAATTTTCTCTGTAAACTTTCACCCAAATCATAATAGAAAGTTTTTACAAATTAAAAAAAATAATAATAGGGAAAAAAGTATGGAGCAAAACTCAAAATGATTAATAAAAAAAAAAAAAGACCAGGATTCCTGGTCTGACAGAGATTGAAAGAATCCCTACGACTATGGCCCTTAGAAATCCTTTAGGCCTGGAAATGAAGTCACAGCCCCATGGCTCTACTTTCAGTCAAACAACAGACAGGGCTATTAGGTGAACAGTAACACCAGGGAGGTATGCATTCCTTGGAACAATCAATCATACTAAATCAAAAGAGCAGCATTTGCCCAGTGACAAAGTTCAGATCCTTATATATTTTATAGATGTGACTAATGTTTAATGTTTATTTGATTATTTGGTGGTGATGATTATTTACCCTCCAATACTGTGGGTAGTCCTCATCTAGTCAGTTTAGGGCCTTAAGAAAAAAAAACAGGTTTCCTGGAGAAGAAATTTTGCCTCAAAACTGTTACATAGAAATCCTGTCTGACCATATATAAGGTGGCAAACAATACTTCTACATACATATTTGTATGTGGTGTAAGAATCTCCATATAAATAGAACTAACAGGGACAAAGTTGTGATACTTCTTAAGCACAGTTAATCACCTTGATGGAGTGAGTTGTTGCACCTGTGGGCTTGGGATCATGGTCACTAGGAACATGAAACTCAAATGGCATAACATACTACACAAAAACTGTTGTACATTCTACTTTGGTGAGTAGCGACTGGGGCCTTAAAAGCTGCAAGCAGCCATCTAGATGCAACAACTGGTCTCTCCACATCCAGAAAAAAGAAGAATGAAGAAAATCAAAGACCCGTGGAAACAATTAGTACAAGGGACTAGTGGACTGTGCGAACCTCAGCCTATATGACCATGAGACCAGAAGAACTAGATGGTGCCCATCTAGTATTGTCAACTACTAGGAAGTAGATCAGTACAAGAGATCCTGAACAATGTGGAACAAAACTCAAAATCATAAAAAAAAGACCAAGTTTACTGGTCTGATAGAGGCTGGTGAGACCCCAAGACTATGGCCCCTAGTTACCCACCCTTCAGGCCTGGAACTGACCTCACTTCCACAGCATCCAACCAAACCATAGATAGGCATACAGGGTAAGCATTTACACAGGTAGATATACTCCTTAGAACAATCAATTATGGGAGAACAGAAGGGCAGTACTTTCACAAGGAGATAGCTCTGGGAGCAGGAATGCATAGGAAAGAAGGACAAAGGAAAGAGGTAACAACAGGGAGGAAGTGAGAAGAGAGTTGTTACATTGTGAGGAGCACAGTCAATGTCATAAAACAAAATGTATATAACCTGTTGTATGGAAAATTAATTTACTCTGTAAACTTTCACCCAAATCACAATTTATAAAGGAAAAAAATCCTGAGTTTCCAGCCTGTCAACTTGCCCTACAAAATTCAAATGTATCAAATCCACAGTCACATGAGCCAATTCCTTAAAACTTTTATATATGTATGTACACACACAAGTACTCATTGCTTAATATCCAAGATACCTTCTGTGAAAAAAGATGCTATGCATTTTGGTTGTCATGCAAACACCATGTTATATAGAGGCCCTCCCCATATAATCCATAGTTAAATCCCCATAAAGCCCATAATGTTAAAATCTTACAGAAAGCTGCATCCACTGGATACAGGAGGCTGGCCATCCACTGGATACAGGAGGCTGGCCTTGCTGGGTATTTGGATGGGCCAGGCAGGGGCTGCACTAGCAGCTGGATCAGAACTTCGCACATGTCTGGGCAGGGCAAGGAAGGTGCACAGGGGCATACAGAAATAGCCACAGGGACTGGGTATGTGGGAATATGGAAGTGCTTCTTTAATGTTTTTTATGCGTAGAAAGGTACACTCTATACTATATACGAAGACAAACATTTGACTGACATTAGATATAAACTGTACCTAACTGCTGCAACTTACATACAAATTCAACTTACAAAGACAGACTTAAGAACAGAATTTGTTCATAATCTGGAGACTACCTGTGTATAATATGGTGTTTGCACAATGTCCAAATCACATAATTTCCTATTTCACAGCATGTATTGTGGATTTTAAGCAACACATGACTGCTTATTACAAATATATACACATATACATATATATTGTGTTTCTCTGAGAACCCTGACTGAAAACAATACAGATATCATATATAATATATCTGTAAATTTAAAAAAGAAAATACCTGATAAGACTGACATCTTAAAACTATCAATAATTAACTCTGGGTGGGGATTAGATGGCTTATGGTTTTTTTCCTCATTATTTTCTTGTATTTTCTAAATTTTACTTGTATTTTCTAAATTTTCTAAAATAACCAAGAATTACCTTTGGAATTAGAGGAAAAAACTAGGGGATAAGAAATTGACTATACACACACACACACACACAGAGGAGCTCTGGTAGCATAGTGCCTAAGGCACTTGACTGCTAACCAGAAGGCTGGTGGTTCAAACCCACCAGCCACTCCTCGGAAGGTAGGGTAATCTACTTGCGTAGTGATACTGCCTCGGAAACCCAAGGAGGGATTGCTATGAGTCAGGTCCAACTCAACAGCACATAACAACAACAATATATACACACACACACACACACACACAGAGGAAAGAAAGACACAGGGAAGAGGTATGCATTCCTGCCCCCAGAGCTATCTCCCTGTGCAAATACTACCCTTCTGTTCTCCCATGATTGACTGTTCTATATATGTATACATATATATGTATGTGTGTATGTGTGTGTGTGCGCACATATATATATAGTGCTTGAGATCTTTCCCAGGCCCTGAATCTTGTTATGTGGAATGTTCCAAAAATGCTTTTAATGATGATTAAAATGTCCTTTATGTTTGCAGTATTTGGAAAACACTTCTTTGGGTAATTCTTCATATACCTTTCTTTCTCGGTATCTTCTTTCTCTCTCCTCATCTCCTCTTTCTGAGTCGTCATCTCTTTTTTCTTTCTCTTCAATTCTTACTTTACTTACTACAAAAATAAAAAATATTTTTAACATTCCTAAATATAGCACATCAAAAAGATCTTTTAGCATCTTGCTGCAATCTTTATTGTACATATTGTATTAGAAGCTGTAGTAGTGTAGTTCCTAAGGCACTTGACTGCTAACCAGAAGGTTGGCAGTTCAAACCTACCAGCCACTCCTCGGAAGGAAGGTTGGACAATCTACTTCTGTAGTGACACCACCTTGGAAACCCAAGGAGGGGTCACTATGAGTCAGGTCCGACTCGATGGCACATAACAACAACAACAACATGTTTGTTAGAATATATAAAATATTTTCTTCAGTTAAAACAAATTATCCAATCTCATGAGTGAAAAGTTCTGGCATCTAAACTTAAAATACAGTAAAATAAGAGAGATCATAATGGCAATTAAAGAAACCTATCAAATGTTTGAATGATTGCTGGAAATTAGAGAGGGTACCACCTCTCCAATAAATGATGCCTTCGCAGTTTCTGTGGTAAATGTGTAGGTAAAAGAGATATATAGGGAATTGTTAAGCATGGACTTGTGTCCCTCGAAAATATATGTTAGAATCCTAACTCTACACATGTGGATGTGATGCCATTTGGGAATAGGATTTTTTGGTTATGTTAATAAGGTCACATCAATGTAGGACATGTCTTACACCAATCACTTATGAGACATAAAAGGAGCAAATTAGGCACAGAAGCAAGCAAGTACAAATGGGGAAAGAGTGATGTCATGCAGAGAACACAGACTTGAAAAGATGAAATAAGGCTCTTCCCCCAGAGCTGAGAGAGAAAGCCTTTCCCTAGGGCTGGCACCCTAAATGCAGACTTTTAGTCTCCTAACAGTAAGAAAATCAATGTCTGTTTGTTAAGACCATCCACCTGTGGTATTTCTGTTACAGCAGTACTAGAGATAGGAAGTATAGCCCAACCCACGGAGGAAAACCTGCCTAGTCAGTCAAACATTTTAGCTGCAAAGCTCAAAGGAAATGTCTGCCCTTGTTGATCAGCTAAAATTAAAAAAAAAAAAAAAAAAACCAGCACTAGCCTAGCACACCTTCCAGGTATCCAGGTTGATAAGGAGAAGCCAGAGAATCCCAGAAAGTTCTAGGATGCCTGGAGCCTCCCCATACAACTAAGGGAAGCCAATGTGCCAGCCCATCCCCCCACTGGCATAAAAGATGAAGCTTCACTGTCTGGCAGCCAACTGCCATTCAAATGATGACCTATCACAGCCTGAGGCTCACAGAGAGAAATCAACTTGTCATAAACAAGTACTGATTATGCCCCTAGCCCCTTCCAACAATGGAAAATCTAGATCTTCACTTTCAAATTTACACAGACCAAAAAAGCTATCAGACTTAATATCAGGAAAATCAATACATTAAAAGATGAGGACAAAGTTAAGCTCTCAGAGATCACTGAAATAAAGTTCAACTATTTATTCATCCAAAAATATTCACTGAGCACTAACCACTAGTCTAGGAGCTTGGGGCCACAGAAGAGAACAAAACAGGGGGAAAGAGAGAATTCCTCAGAGTTCACATCCAGTGAGGGAAGAGAGTAAACAAAAGTGGAGATGACAGAAAGAGGTCAGATTCTACATATTTTCTGAAGGCAGAGCCAGCAGAATTTCCTAATAAAATGGAAGTAGATTTCCTCATAGATTAGAAGAAAAAGAGTAAAGTCATGATTGATCTCAAGATTCTTTGACCTAAGTAACTAGAAAGAAGCAGTTACTATCAACTGGCATGGGTAAGGTTGCAACGAAGTAGGTCGTGTGGGAAAGATATCAGAAATTCCATGTTAGACATATTAAGTTTGGGACAACAAACTACAGAAGTCAAGCATCCAAGTAGATACATAAGTCTGGAATTCAGGAATGAAGTCTAGCTGGATATAAAAACTTGGAAGTAAGCAGCATATAAACGGTATTTAAAACCATGAGACTGGATAAATCACCTAGGGAATGAGGGTAGATGGAGAAGTGGTCCAAGGAATCAGCCCTAGAGCAAGGCAACACTTCACAAATTGGAGAAATGCAAAGGAAGCAGCAAAGGAGATATGGAAGAGGTATAAAAATGATGAAGGGCATTGGAAAGAACTTTAAAATGTCTAATTATGTAACTAGTCTTTTTTAGTACAATTCATTGCAATCCTGAATTAGGAAAAAAAAAAAAAAGAGTAGGTACCGATGAAAAAACAGCAATCTGAAAACAAAAAAAAAATTACTAGACATAAAAACGAGGAACATTAAAATAATTTTTAAACGGCACTGAATAGTAAAATGGTTTCTTTTAATCAGTGGTAACCTCTTAAAACTCACAGCTGTGGAGTCGGATCTGACTCATAGTGACCTCTCCTTGGGTTTCTAAGATGGTATGGTATCACTACAGAAGTAGATTGCCCAATCTTCCTTCCTAGGAGTGGCTGATGGGTTTGAACCACCAGCCTTCTGGTTAGCAGTCAAATGCCTTAGGCACTATGCTACCAGAGTTCCAGTCAAATGCCTTAAGCACTACACCACCAGAGCTCCCAGAGATAACCTGCTGTTGTTGTTGTCATGTGCCATCGAGTCGGACCCGACTCATAGCTAACAGCAATTTTACCCCTATGTACACATCCAACAGAAATGCACACATATAAACATCAAAAAACATATATAATGAAGTTCATAAAAGTTGTATTTGCAATCAACTAACTCTGCAAACAATTCAAATGGCCATTGGCAACAGATTAGATAAATATGGTGATATGTTAATATAACAGAATAATATAATACATAATCCAAAAGGTCTGATGGTGTAGTGCATAAGGCATTTGGCTGCTACCCAGAAGGTAAGCGGTTCAAACCCACCAGCCACTTCATGGAAGGAAGATGGGGTGATCTATTTCCATAAAGATTTACAGCCTCGGAAACCCCACAGAGGTCGCTATGAGTCAGAATCAAGTAGATGGCAGTGAGTTCATATAACAGAATATTACTTAATAATGAAAATGAATGAACTACTGATGCACTCAATGTCATAAATTAACCACATAAACATAATATTGAATAATATTGAATAAATTAAGCTAAATACTAAAGAATTATATACGTTACAATTTCATTATATAAAGATCAGAAACAAGGAAAAGTAAACTATAGTATCAGAAATCAGGATACTGGTTTACATTTGGGGAGGGGAGTTAGAATAGTGACTGCTGTGGGGAGTGTTCCTAACCAAAAATAAACCAAACCAAATCCATTGATGTCAAGTTGATTCTGACTCATTGTGGTTCTATATAGAAGAACTGTCCCATAGGCTTTCCAAAGATGTAAATCTTTATGGAAGGAGACCATCCTATCTTCCTCCTGCAGAGCAGCTGATGGGTTCAAACTGCTGACGTTTCAATTAGCAGCCAAGTGCTTAACCACTGTACCACCAGGTACTGTTAATGTTTTATTTCTTAATCTAGTCAGTAGTCACATGGGTATGTCCACTTTGTGATCACTCAACAAGTTGTATGCTTATAATTAGTGTGTTTTTCTGCATTTTATACTTCAAAAAATACTTTTCTAAAAATGAATATTGAACATATGCTAAAATCACCATAATAATTAGTAAATATTATGGGAAGATCTTTGAAGCCATGCACATATCTTGTTTCTCCTCAAATTTTCATCCATTCTTCTGTGGATTTTGTCTGCAGCAATTACTACTGTGGTGTTCTAAGTGTGATTATGTTTCCCTCATTCTTTCTCTCATTCCTGCATTTATTAACTGGAACTCATCTATATGAAAGTGTTGTCTCCTCTGTCTCATTTTTTTTAATTCATTTATTTCTATGAGCTTGGACTCATGAATACTTATTTTATTCTTTTGATTTATAATCTAGTATCAATATCAGACAGTAAAATAATCTATTCTTTTGCTGCTCAGACTATTCCAGATTTGGCTATCAGGGGCTCTTTCAGGTTGGTTCCCGTGTCCTTTTTGCCCCCTCACAGTATTACTTCATTTACATAAAGCTTATGACAATAATTTTGAAAAAAAATAAATAAAGCTTATAGCAGGCAAAGCTATTTGTTTAGGCATGGATACACAAGCAATAAAACTACAAAGAAAAGCCAGGAAATTATACAATAAATGTCAGGATGATGGGTACAATGGGTGACATGGAGGGATTATTGGTAGGAACCACAAAGACTTTGGGAGATGGTAAACTTCTAGCACCTGGCCTGGAAGGAGTTACATGGAACTCATGTTACTTATTGAACTGTATTTTGATAATTTATGTACTTTTCTACATATATTTCATAATAAGGTATTTTCCTTTTTTAAAATTGTTTATGTTTTAGATGGACATTTACAAAGTAAATTAGTTTCCCATTCAATCGTTTGTACATAAAGCATTCCATGACACTGGCTGCATTTCCCACAAAGTGTCAGCACTCCCCCCATTTCCACCCTGGTTTCCTTGTTTCCTATCATCTGAATTTTCTACTCCTCCCTATTTTCTCATCTTTGCTTTGGAACAAATGTTGTCCATTCAATCTAGTATAATTGTTTTTTCTAAGGCGCATGTTCCTCTTGGTAATAATGTTTATTTTATGGACTTGTGTACTATTTGGCTGGTTGGTGGTCTCCAGAAATGGCTTCAATTCCAGGCAGAAAGGTATCATACAGCCAAAGTCTCAGGAGTTCCCCAGTCTCTGTCAGACCAGTAAGTCTGGTCTTTTTTATGAATTTGATCTTTCGTTCCACATTTTTCCCTTGCTCTGTTCAGGACCTTCTGTTGTGATCCCAGTCAGAGTGGTCAGTAGTGGTAGCCAAGCTTCATCTAGTTCTTCTGGTCTCAGGGTTGTGTAGGCTGTGGTTCATGCAGTCTATGAGTCCTTTGTACTAATTGCTCCTTGAGTCTTTGGTTTCCTTCACTTTCCTTTGCTTCGGACAGAAAGCGATCAATAGTCCTACCTTAGATGGCCACTTGCAAGCTGTTAAGACCCCAGAT